TGCATGGTAACAGACAGGGTTGGATTGTGTCGTCTTCTACCTGCAATTTTAAAAGGCATTGACGTCGCTGACACAGATTGAGGCATCAGGTCGAAGAAGCATGTTATAAGATGATGTCAAAGTATTTTGTCCATATATTGAATCCAGTTTACACGACTAGCATCAAATAACACAATTCTACATAAATACAAAGTACAACCAGGTGCACAAGTGAAGCCATGTCCTCACACGTTTTTGAAGTCTGTCAGTTTTTTGACAGCTTGACTTTACTATAAATGGAAATCATGTTCGCTGTCATCTTCTGAATCCAACTTGCACTTTTGTGTGAGATTCCAGTGCAGCTCCTCTTTTCCAAGACAGTCGCTGAATTTTTTAGTGCATGTATAATGCAATAAGTAGATTTTTATTTTTTTTTATAATACAGTAAGATGTGTATTTTTCATACTTAAAACTTAAGTATAAATTGATGGGGCTAGTTAGATAGTCTATTTAACACAGCCCAGTCTGATGGGAAAACAAGAGACTGAAATGAATAAATGATATTAAAGGTATTAAGGATAATATGTTTGGGCACCGCGGCTTTTATTGTGAGGCTGCGTCTATTGTACCACTGGGTCATTATGCAATGAGAGTGAGAGAAGCGAAGGAAGAGGAGATATACCTCACATCATCCCACAGGGTAATGATGCAGGGATGTGAGGATGGAGAGAGAAGGAAGGGAAACAAATAGAGACAGGAGAGACTGTGGGAGAATAGAAATGGAGAGAGAGAGACGATGGAGAGGCAGTGATGTGGAGAAAAGAAAGAGAGGAGGGGAAAGAGAAACAAAAAGGTGGGTCAAGGATGCATTGAAAAGAGAGAGAAAACAGAAAGAGTAAGAAAGAAAAAATAAACTGGAGAGACAATTAGGTGGGAAGAAGATGGAAAAACGAGAAAAATGGAAGGAAGAGAGAGGATGGAAAGTACAAGATGAGAAGAAAGTGAGTAGGGATGGGAGTTTGAAACTGGAGAGGGGCGGGAGGAAAAAGATGGGAGGAGTGTGTGTGTGTGTGTGTGTGTGATTGTGTGTGTGTGTGGGGGGGGGGGAGGGGGGGGGGGGGGGGGTATCCCGTAGGGTTAATTACATCTCTGTTCTCTGTCAGTGCGGCTCTCTCCTCTGCGATCTGAGTCCCTGCTGCAGGCTGACAGGCCACACACACACACACACACACACACACACACAAATATATAACCCACACACTCATCAACACACACACACACACTCGAACATCAAGACACACAATCAGTAATGTTCTCTGTCTCCTCCTTTTTGTCTTTCTGTCACAGTTTCTCCCTCACAGTAAACCCGTCACCGTCTCGTCCCAGGAGAACGTGCGTTGTTCTGTTCCGAGTTCGACACGAAGACGAGGGCTCACGCTCGTAATAGCTGTTAATTTTGCATAAATCATGCATAACATGACCCACATGTAAATCACTCATGTCAGCAGGATATCACATCCCGGCAGCTCCTTCTTCTTCTTCTTCTTCTTCTTCTTCTTCTTCTTCCTCATTTCGAAACACAAGCAGCTTCCATTTTCATTGTTTTGTCTCAGCTATTCTGTTTGACTTCTTGAGATGAAAGACAAAAAAAGATGCACATAGCTACAGCACTGGGAGCATTATTAGCATTTCTCCCGTCCAGGTTTGCTCGGCAATGAAAAATGTAGATTTTGGCCTCTATGTCAAATCGACTTAATGTTTTATAAGGAAATAGATTCATTTTCTAGCGTTCTTCATTTACGTAGCAGAATATACATATTAAGGAGAACTGAAGTAGTTTTATCTCACCTTTGTAAAACAACTTAGGAAACTCTAAACCTTCTTCTTTGTATAGTTGTGATGCTGGATGAATAATTCCAGATATTATTTTTGTAAAAGTGTGGCGTCTTTCTTTACTCTGCCTTTAGATAACCTCACAAGAACTTGTGTTGAACTGAGGTTTGCACACATGTGATGATAATGATGGGAGTTCTGCTTGTAAAGAAAGGAGTAGTGGCACTTATGGTAAATGCAACATGACTAGTGAGTGTGTCGCCGTTTGTCTGCTCTGCATAGTCTAATGTGCTTCTCTGTAGATTACCCCACATTGGTTTATTGAGTACTTTAGGGGCTGAACTCGAAGGTCGAAAGCAGTCTGCACGTCTACGCTATGCTTAAAGAAGCCTGAAGAATGTTATCTTTGATGTGACCAGTATGTCATGAGCAGTTTTGCATTTATTTTTGTAGAGGAAAGGCCAAAAAAAGCAAAAAACAAAGTGAGTGGATGGCACCCAATAAAGGTCTCGTACTGGATTTAAAGTTTGACTATTTAATCATCAGAACACATGGTGATAAGAAGCCTTTGCTTCAGTTAATTTGATGAGAGGACATTCTAAGTAAGTCAGTTAAAGTCAACTTATAGCACTTAGATTACAAAATGATTCACAGTGAAGAGACATTTACTAGCAGGAACCACAACAATGTGAGCTTATGGATCTGATGAAGAAAGGTGTTGTTGGATGATGTGGATGAACACAGAGATGTCAGGGTGAGGATGGATGTGGAAGATGATGTTGGAGGTTTGAGGGTTGTTGGGTCTCCGGTGGAGATGTGAACCTGCAGTAGACATGAGATGGTGTTTGGAACGAAGAGAGAAAAATGGGGATGAATGGATGTGGGAAGAAGATTGTATGAGAAGTAGGAGGGTCTGGAGACTAAGATGACTAGTGCTGGATGGGTAAAGCAGGTATAAGTAGATCTACCAGGTAGTGTAGTTGAGGCATGTTCCTGCTCCTGAACCAACAAGCTACCTTCATAAAGTAAGTGTAGAATAAAAAAGGAAACTGAGAAGGTGGTACATGCTGTTAAATGTCTAAGTTACTGGTCAGAAAGAGTGTTTAAAGAAGGAATCGGGGCAAGTAAGTCCTAGTGAAGAGTTCATTTGCAAAAACGGATAACTCCATCTTCACAAACCTTCAGAAAACCCACTTTTCCATCGTCTACCTGAGACAATATCAAACCTAAGTTATCTCTATTTTTGTCATTTCTACTGAGTCAAATCCACTCAACTTCAGTTTGATTGATATTATCTCAAGCAAACAACAGAAAAATAAGTTTTCTGAAAATCTACAAAGATGGAGTTTTCTGTTCTTGCAAACGAACTCTTGATGAAACGAAAAATAAAACCTTAAACTAACACTTTCCATAACCTCAGAGTTTGAACTCAAAGTAGCTGAAAATAATAGATTTCTATCTGTATTGGAGTAAATGTCTCAGCAGCACATCATTAGCTTAATTTCAGCCAGCAAAAAGCACCACCAAACAGCACCTCCTTCAACAACATCCAAGCGTTTTAAGGCAGAATTTCCCCTTAAACTTCAAATGAATAACGCAGCCATCAGCTCACAGCCACCGCAGTTGTCTTCTTGAGTCAGAATTCAAAAGGGAAGTTGATGCAACATTAAAGGCCTTCCTGTGAAGTCTGAAGATTCCTGCCTTCGCTAAAAGAAGCCTCCCGCTCAAATAACATGACAAGTCATGTAATCCTCCTGACAAATCAGTAAATCTCCCTGTTGTTTGCACCTTTGTGGTTGAATCCCGCTGAGACGTGTCCCTCAGAGCCACGGCCTGCTTTATTAACCAGTTTTTGCCTTAATTAGCTAATAGGATTGTTTTAACCATGATCCAAGAACAGAATAGCCCACGGGAAGACAAACACCAACTCTGTGGATATGTTGGAGGTGTGTGTGTGTGTGTGTGTGTGTGTGTGTGTGTGTGCACGTATGTAGCGGTGTCTGTGCGCTTTCACAGCTGTGTGACTCAATATGTAGCTGCATGTGCGTGACCGACTCACTGAGGAGTGTGTGTGTGTGTGTGTGTGCGTACGAGCGGATAAATTGGGTGTGATTCAATTTTGCATGTGTGCAGGAGCTTCTGTCTGTGTGTTGGCGCTCATGCACGTGAGAGTGCACGTGTTGTCTAAGGCAGCGCAGTCTCTCTCTCTCGCTTAATTAACGTGCCTTCTTGCAAGACTTTCTCCAGAATATGAAACAATTTTACCTGATGATGCAAACGGCTGAAAACAGCGGCGGGTTTAGTGCCTCGCCTCCTCACCTGACACTTTCTCTTTATGCGAGAGTGTTAATGTATGCTTGCGCTACACTTGTAGTTTTTATATCTGTGTATTTTAGTGGCTCTGCAATAGCCAAAAGGCTTATTTTGCTGCAGGAAATGTGTGTGTGTAAGCAGAATCCTTTGTACTGTGTGATGAAAAAGAGCAGGCTGCATCACAGCTTGGCAACGATGTTCCCGCTACACAAGCGTCCGTGCACGCTCGCACACATTTTCCACTTTCCACGCTCGCACACACACATGCCCACGTAGCGACGCACAGTGTCAGTAAAGTCCAGGGAAAACCTTGAAAAGGGGGCAAGGAAGAAACAAAACAGAGGCAGAAGACACAGAGGAATGACAAATATTCAAATTGAGCTCTGGATCCAGCTAAAAAGAGAAATGATTAAAATGATTTCATAAAATAAAATCTGCGAATTCTCCAGCGTCCTTCCATTCAGACGAGCGTGTATGTGCAGAAATGCAGGCAATTCACTTCAAAAACCTCCCGGTCCCGCAAGAGAAATTCCACACTGACAGGGTTCGTATTAAAATACACTCATAATAAAAACCTCATACAGTCAATAAAAGCACACACAAATTACTCCAACGACCACCATATGGACAAGCACCAGTCAATAAGACCAGAGAGGCACCGTGTAGCTCGATAGTGCAATAAAAGATGGCAGCTCATGGCCAGGTCACAATGAAAGGGACTAAAAATTGATTTTGCCTCTCCGTCCTTTCTTTCGCAGTGTGCTGCGTTCGTTTCTCCCAGGAGCCGGCGGACCAGTCGGTGGTACTGGGAGAACGGGTGGTGCTGTCCTGCGTGGTCTTCAACTACAGCGGCATCGTCCAGTGGACCAAGGACGGCCTGGCCCTCGGCATCGGAGAGGGTCTCCGAGGTGAGGAAAGAAATCCCGCAGCTTCGCACGGCTGCAGGGATCAAAGTGAAGTTGAAGAAGGGGAATAACTCAGCCACGGTTTCGGTTCCGTTTTGACTGTAAGAACCCTGACAAAAGCTATTACGGCTGAAAAGTGTAGGGGGTTTTTTCAACATTAGGGGAATGAACACTGTACCATGTGAGAGAGAGTTAAGAGCCAAGAGGCGTGTGAGTGACAATCTGGGCAAAAATGAGTCCTGTATATCATGCTGAATTAGAGAAAATCCCTCACACTGCTGACAAAAGCAGACGCACATTCGCATTTACATTTTAAGCCGACACGCACATCCAGACTGACTTAGTGCAACAGTGGAGTGCGCTTGGTTTCAGAGATGAGGGAACATCACATGCAACCACAAGTGAGACAGTCCAAGGGTCAAATCCACAACAGAAGGAGAACAGTTTGATATTTTTCTTTTCCCCTGCATGCGTGAAATGGTCAGAGGAAACTCGGAAATACAAAATGAAAGTAAAACAGGCCTGGAGAAGAATGAGAAAAAAATAAAATAAAATTCTCCACAGACCTCACCCCCATTTTCTCAAAAATGTGCAAACGAGCTTTTGACCACTGAACGCCGACGCTGACTTCTTATGAGATACGTTTTGTCAAAATATGTCAAGAATGAAAATGATCTTTCATACTTGATGTCTGAAGATGCAAAAGTCTCCAACAGAAGGATGATTATACAGCAAATTAGATTCAGATTTCACATTAAGTCTACATGAAGCAAGAATCACGGGTTTCGTTATTTGGCGTAATAAGAACATTTATCAGTCATTTTTTATTGAATCAACGTTCCTGGTTTGCATCAAAAGACGTGAATGGAAAGAAACGGTTAAGTGTTGTGTTGTCGTCAGATGGGGAATTCCTGTAGAAACAAAGAGCTGGAAGCAAACAAGCTGCATAAAGGAAGGCAGCGCTGCTTCATTTTTATTGCTTAAATTCATCTCTCTCTCTTTTTTTTTTAATGCTTATCCATCGATATCTTTGATGCTGAGCGGCGTTGCTTCGCTGCTTCTTTCCTGCATTCATTACATCTGTCAATCAGACTGTGAGCACAAAGTTTTCCAAACTCATGTGTTGCTAGTTTGTCTGAGGCTGGTTCTCAAAACGCTCCTGCAGCTGTAAATGCTGACGCGCTAAAACTACTCACCCTGTGGTAGTTACTGCGAGTTACTTGTTAACCAGAGGGCCTCCTGAAGTAGCACACAGTTACCTGCAGGCCTGAAGCACTGCAGCTGCGGTGGAGGCAAAACGTATCCATGGCTGGAGTTCAGGAAGCGATGGAGAAGGACCTTCCGTTGACTCCAAAGAAGTTCTGACAAACTGTCAGACCGCTGAGGAAGTCAAAGCGAGCCTTGGCTCAAGCTGTGTTTAGCAACCGTTGATCCAGATGGAGGGTATTGTTTGGAAGTGGGGAAACAAAAGCACTTTGAGGAACTCCTGAATCCGACCACCACATCCTGAGTGGAGGAGGAAGAGTTTCAGTTAAACACGCTCTCTGGTTAAAATCAAGCCTTTTAAAAAACATGTAAACATATGGTGTTTTTTCTATGCTAGAAGACATATGATGAGGGAACAAGCAGTCAACAGCATGGTGAAGCGTTTCCACCTTGAACCCGCAGTGTACTGATGATAGTCTCAAAAACACTGATCACGACTCTCCTGGTTTCATGTGTAATAAACAGAAGAGACAGATCTTGTCAGCTTGCAGTAGGAGATTATATAAATCAGGTTCCACCTCAAACATGCATGGCTGAGTTACTCTAATATTACAGCTTGTTGTAGTGCAGTAGTTTTACAGTGTTTGAACTGAGTCGTTTAAACAGAGAGAAAAAAAATCCTG